TGAAACCATTAAACTTCTAGAGGAAAACATAGGCAATATGCTCTTTGACATCGGTCTTACAGCGTATTTTGAAGTACCATGTCTGACCAGGCAAGGGAAACAATAGAAAAAATAAATAAATGGGACTACATCAAACTAAAAAGCTTCTGCACAGCAAAGGAAACCATCAGCAAGATGAAAAGACAACCTAACAGTTCATTGCAGCATTATTCACAATAGCCAAGACTTGGAAGCAACCTAGGTGCCCATCAAGGAACGAATGGATAAAGAAGATGTGTTACACATACATAATGGAATACTGCTCAGCCATAAGAAATGATGAAATCTGACCATTTGTGATAACATGGATGGACCTTGAGGGTATTATGCTAAGTGAAATAAGTTCGAGGGAGAAAGTCAAATATCATATGATCTCACTCATAAGTAGAAGAAAAACAATGACAAACAAACACAAAGAAACAGAGATTGGATTGGTGGTTCCTAGAGAAGAAGTGGGGAGAGAAGAGAGTGAAAGGGGTGATTAGGCACATGTGTGTGGTGATGGATGGTAATTAGTCTTTAGGTGGTGAACATGATGTAATCTACACAGAAATCCAAAATATATAACGATGTATGCCTGAAATTTGTGTAATGTTATAAATCAATGTTACTGCAATATAAAAATTAAAATTAAAAAAAAAGAAAAAGAAAAATCTGATAATAGCCTTGGAGGAACTGACACACCCTCTGTATGGAGTGTTACGTTCTTTCAGTAATGATAGTTGGAAGCAAGGCTCTTAAATCATTTGATTGTATTTGCTGAAATAAACTTACTTTTATCATCAAAAGAAAAAAAGCTGATATTGTGATTTCTACCTGATATTTGTTTCTATTTCTAAATTGGTTCAGAACTTAGAGGGGGAAAGGGATATATAGTCATTCATTGCTTAAAGATGAGGATACATTCTGAGAAATGCATCTGTTACATGATTTTGTCATTGTGAGAAAATCATAGAGTATACTTACACAAACCTAGATGGTATAGCCTACTACACACCTAGGTTATATGGTACCAATCTTATGGGACCACCACTGTAAATGTAGTCCATCATTGATGGAAAGGTCATTATGTGATGCATGACTGTAATTAATTATTAACCATGTGATTAATTATCACCTTCATAAACCCCAACAGATGGATGCCTCTTTTATTCCATTAGCAGGTAAACCCATTTCAGGATGGCAGGAAAAAGGTATTTTGTAAAATCAAACGAGGTTAGAGCTGCAAGTGACCTTAAAGATGATCCAGTCCAATATCTTCATGTTTACAGATGAAAAGATAAACAAATGAAATGGTCAAGTGACATGATCCACGTGAAATTCTGTGAAAGAGTCATATAACGCAAATTATTAGTATGATTAGTAGTTTGGGTAGTGGTCTTTAGAAGCAGTAACCAGAATTAAAAATAGATTATAGATAATATAGAAAATAGATTACAGATAATAGAAAATAGGTTACAGATGAAAACTAAGCAACTTCAGAGGGAAAGAAGTTTCCCTAAATAAAAGTATTATCTCCAGGAAACATCCTCAAACCACAAAGAAACAATCAATAGTTCAGAGTTGAATTTTTTTTTAATTGGCAAGAAACCCACCTTAGGTCAATAAGACTGCTTACCCACAATCTTGAAAATCAGATAAGGTGTCAAAAGAAAGAAGCTTTCCCTCTCTCTCCTCTTCCTGCCCACCTACCACCTAGCATTAGGAACATTCACTTCATAATTGTTAACCAGCATGTCCTATTGGCAAAGCAAAAGTCCTGGACGTCTCAAGACGTATGAGACCTTTGGCCAAACACGGCCATTTGTGGTCTTATCTTTGTCTCTTACCAACACCCTCACCCACCAGGGTAGCTAGATCTGGCTTTTAGGAAGTGTCTGGTCCTGGGTAAGTCAGAGAAAGCCAACTTCACCCTGTCTCTCCTACTGAATACAGCTGTGAAATTTGGACAGAATGTACAGAGCAGCTACTTGAAGACTCTGAAAAGCATAATAATAGGAGGGGGATTAGGGAAGAAGACCAGGATTCAAAATACTACAGAACCATATCCCCCACCCATGGCCTGAACTCAACACACCACCAGCGGGCAGCAGGGTACAGACAAGAAATCTCCTGGAGACATTCTCTAGTTCTGGCTCCAGCATCAGGAAAGGAAACTTCTAATGCTCAGAGAGAGTGTGGAAATGCTCCGTTTTCCCTCTACTCTTCTTTTTTCTTTTCCTCTCCCCTCCCCTCTCCCCTGCTTCCTTCTCCTCCCTTCTCCCCTCCTTCCTTTTCCTTCCTTTTCCTCCCTTCTTCTATGCTCCAGCCCCCAGCAATCTTACGGTAGTTATAGCATCAGCCTACAGGAGCCAAAACTGAGGGAGGGGAAGCTCTCTCTGCATTCAATGGCACTGTCATTCCCAAAGGCTGGGGCCAACTCTCATTGCTTGTTTTCTTTCTTTGTCCTCTCTCTGTTTGGTCAATACATAGGCAAAGTCGTGGAAGTACATAGCAGAGTGAGCTTTTTGGTCAGAGACTAAAAAATGGTCCCAAGGAACCAGCAAGTATCAGGGGTATCATGGAGAGGGAAGAGCTTGGTCAAGCAACCCCATAAAGTTTTTTTTTAATAAATTCCTGGGCTCAGTCTGTGCATGCCTGGGTCTGATCTTAATTAGCACAACTAAACTTTGAGAACTCCACGCCTAGGTGCCAGACTGACCACTGGGTGACACACACATGAGATGGCTCCAAATAGCACTGCCAAGGCTTTGAAAACTGAAGTGACATAGGAACTAAAGCCCTCAGAAAACCAACTAGTCGCCAAGAACTCACAGCCTGAACCTAACCAGGTTGAATGAATGCTAAAATAAAAATATCAACATCCTCCACAGGCTTTAAACAAGACCTTGAATCTCACAACATAATACTCAAAATACATGGAATATAATCCAAAATTGCTTGGCATACAAAGAATCAGGAAAATCTCAATTCCCTGGGAAAAGATAATCAACTGAAGCTAAAGCAGCAATGACTTAGATGTTAGAATTATTTGACAAAAACTTTAAAGTAGCTATTATAAAAAAGTTCCAACCAGCAATCATGAACACTGCTGAAACCAATGGCAAAATAGAGTCTCAGGCAAGAAATAGATGACATAAAGAAGAGTCAAATGGAAATTATGAAATTGAAAAATACAATAACCAAGACAAAAAACTCTCTGACGGGCTCAACAGCAGAATGGAGATGACAGAGGAAAGAAAGCCATGGGCAAGTCAGCTTCTAGCTGGACGCCCACTAATCACTACTTTTTCATGCATTTTCTCTCTGTTTTAATTAACTATTGCTGCATAACAAACCACACCAAAATTTAGTGGCTTAAACTGGAAACAATTATTTCTCCCAATTTTGTGGGCGGGCGGGGCAGTTTCTCTGCTGGTCTTGCCTGGAGTCATTCACGTTTCTGCATTCAGCAGAAGGGGCGGTTGTACCGGAAGATCCAAGATGGCCTCACTTGTTGGTCTGTCAGCTGGTGCCGGCTGTTGAGTGGAGGGCCTCAGTTCTCCTCCATGTGACCTCTCAACCTCCAGTAGGCTAGACTGGGCTTCTTCACAGTATGGTGATCACAGTGTTCCAAGAGGGTGAGACCAGAAGCCACAAGGACCATTAAAGCCTAGGCTCTGAAACTTACACAATGTCACCTCTGTCATATCTATTGGTCAAAGCATATCACAAGAACAGCACAAAAATAAGGGGTAAAAAAATAGACTATCTCTTGATGAAAGGAGTAGCTACAAGACTTTGCAAATGGGCATGAACTCGGTGAGGCATGAGTCATTAGGATCATTATTTCAATGTTCTACCACACCCTTCCTGGAATTAATGTTGCAAATCTCAAAGGCCATGGATCTACAATTACTAAGGCAGGAGAATAGATTGTGAGGCTCAGAGAAATTTAGGGTTTTGCTTAAGATTACACAGCTCATTAGGGGGGAAAATACAAAACTGGATCCAACTACTGGTGATTCCACTGACCAGTGCTCTTGTCTCTGAGATGAGCTGTACAGTATTTTGAGCACTTTGGTTGTATAACAGGTAGGAGAAAAATGGATAACACTTGTATAATGTGTTAGCAATCATTCATCATTCAGATCCATTTTGTGAAGGAAATAAATGCAGGCACTTGCGGAGTCTAGGAGAAAAAAATTGAAGTAAAGTGACTCAATAAGAGCTATTCATTATATAGCAATAAAGCTCCTAACCTGTTCTGTGCACCAAAACATAGCGCATTCAGTCTCTTGAGTTCCTAGCACTCAAAGCTTAATTTCTTCATTGAGGTAAAATTCACATAACATAAAATCACCATTAACCATTTTAAAGTGCACGATTCAGCGCCATTTGGTACAATTGCTTTATCGTGGAACCATTACTTCTGTCAAGTTCCAAGATATTTTCATCACCCCAAAAGGCAACCTATGCCCATTAAGCAGCCGCTCCCCATTCCTCTCTCCCCCAGCCCCTGGCAGTCCCTAGCTTGCTTTCTCTCTATGGATTTGCCTATTGTGGATGTTTCATATAAATGGAATCACATGACCTTTTGTAAATGGCTTCAGTCACTTAGCACGTTTTTGTGGTTCATCCACGTTGAAGTATGTATCACCATTTCGTTCCTTTTCATGGAAAATATAAATATAAATAATATTAATAATATTCCATTGTATGAATATACCACATTTTGTTTATCTTTTATCAGTGGATGGGCATTTGAATTGTTTCCACTTTTTGGCTACTGTGAATAGTGCTATTATGAACATTCATGCACAAATAGTTGTTTGAATACCTGCTTTCAATTCTTTTGGGTACATAGTTAGCAGTGGAATTGCTGGGTCACATGGTAATTCTATCAAAGCCTAATTACTACTGCAGTTTTTGACGAGGTTTCTTAAAATGGTTTGAGATTAATAACTTGCTGCCCCCATTACCTTGTCTCTAAAGTCAATGTGGTTCTGGAGGATGGCTCTGTGGTAAGTAGCTGTTCTCACAAAATCTTGCATCATGTTCTGCTGCTGGGAAATGCAGCCATAAAACTGGAAGGGAAAGAGAAGGAGACGGAGAGTGAACAACCCACGAGGCAGCGCCTTCCTGAGCACCGGGTTCTTACAGACACCCTGGTCAAGGTAGGCTTAGCCTAACACAGAGGGAAGTGCAGGCTCTGAGAGACGCACTGACGTGTCCACGTTGGCCCTCTTTGTAAGGCCAGAACTTTAAGTTGACCCCAGATTTCTGACTGCTGTTCCATACAATAGATTCAGGCCTAGATCTTGACCGGATAGGTGCCCAGGGGCCCTTCCAAAGCAGAGGCTACGAGAGAATACAGATAAAGAATGACAGAGATAAGAGAGAGAGGGGGTCAGGGCCAAAAGGGATGGTCCTGATGAGTCTCATCAGCCCGGAGAGAAAAACAGGTCTTGTATAGAAATCCTGGTTGAGGGTGGAGGTGGGGCAGAAGATAGTGATGGTGGTAATTCCAAGGAGCCAAGCCAGTTGGGTGACGTGGTGCATACAAACTCCTGAGCACTGACAGTAATAAACATCATCATTTTGTAATTGCCACCATTTGGCAGAGTTTTCTATGTGCCCAGCACCATGCTATGTGCTTCCCATATATTTTCTAATCAGATTAAATCATCACAACAATCAGATGCATTATGTTCCTCAGCTGAGGAAACTGAGGCTCAGAAAGATACTGCAACTTGTCCAAGTGCTGACAACTCGATAAGTGACAGTGAGTGCCAATCCAGGTGATGCTGCCGCTGCTGCTGGTCTGAGGACCACCCTTTGAGAACCATGCAGAATGGCATCAATTTGTCTCCTCTCTGCCCACCACCCTGCCCAGGTATATTCTCAGGTGTGTGTCACCTTGAAACCACTCATTTCCAACGGGGGCAACTTCCCTGACCTGGAAGTACTGCGCGGCAGATGCATCTTCCGTCCGCTGGCTGAACACCGAGCATTCCTTTTTCTCCTTCTGGCATCTTTTCAAGGTATTTGAAAATGCGCTGAATTCTGCAAGGAGAAAAAAGCAGACCCGTTTCTACACCTTGGAGACCAGAGAACTCACCATTGCACTCTATAAAATTCCACTGAGAAAATATTAAAGTGGCACGTTCATCCCTGCCCACACTCATGATAAGGAATGGCATTGTGGAAGTGGGTACTGCTCCGAGGTGTGACACCCTTATTTACATTTGTCAGACATATTTGCATTCACAAATGTCAAGTGAGAGAGCGTAATGGAACCTAGAGACTAGCTCATCGAATTCTCCTGGTACTACGCTTGCAAAGCTTACAGGCTTATTTTCAGTGTGTGCTCCAGGAAAGGTGATTGTTGACAATAAGGAAAAGAAGATATATGTGAATACGAAATATATATGCATATAAATGAATATATATATAAAATCTCATTCTATTATCATGGTGATAAGGTTTTTTTCCTCACATTTAGTATTCTCTAGGTGTATAGAGAAAAGGTAAAATAACCGGGGATCTGTGAATACAAGGGAATGCTTTCTATTATTTGAGAAAAAAATACAGAAATGAAATCTCAAAAAAACAAAAATCCCAGAAGTGATATTACTAATAGATAACACCACGTGCAGAGTTGTCAAATTCTGTGACTTCTGCCTTAGAAATGTCTCTCAAATCCTGCCCAGTGGGCCTCACTGCCTGTGACTTCTGCCCTCTCCACCACTGGCATTGTGACCAGGCTCTCCCTTACAGCGCACACACCCTCAGGTCCGCATGAGCTCCAGCCGCTCAGAGTTCTTCTGCCCTTGCGTGTGTACCCTCCACGCCCTGCTTCCTGCACTCCGCCCTCCCCAGCCCACCATGCTGAAGCGCTTACCAATTCTCAGGTCAAGCTGGCCCTGGCCTGGCTTACTGGTCTATGTCTTCTGTTTAGATTACCTTTTGACATCAAACTCCTATTCATCCCCCAAAATTCAGCTCAATGAGCATTTCCTCGTTGCCGAGTTCTGGAACACCCACAAGCAGAATAAGTTGCTATAATACAGGGGCCTCACACTTGGCTATAGATGAGAATCACCCGAGAAGATTTTATTACATGTGGGTAATGGACCCTCATCCTGAACCTGGTAATCCAATGTTTTTCAAGAGCCTCCAGTGTTAGTTTTCATGGGCAGCCAGGGGTGAGAACCTTTGCTCCAATTTCATGCTCTCAGCTTACCATCGTATTTCATATTTTACTGAATTTAACAATGTTTTTAAATGTCCATCTCTCTATCTATATTGAACTCTTTTAAGGCATGGTTTAGGAGTTCGAGCTTTGTTTATCTCTAGTCTCCAGAACTTAGTGCTAACATAGCAGCCGCCCAATAAATAGGTCTGAAATGCAAATTTAGTAAATTTTGGGAAATGACTAATGAACTTGGTGAAACTATTTTTAATTGGTGAGGCAGTCCTGTGGAGCCCCCGGGCTATCCCATGTGGGGACAGACAGGTTGAAAAAACATCTTGTTGGAGAATAAATATGCAAATATACCTTACTGCTGCCCCTCCTGCTCAAGGGAATGCCAACCACTCCACAGAAACTCGGAGATGCATACAGGGAGGAATTCTTGGTGGAAATATAAATTGATTAGATTTACAATGTATTGTGAACAATCAATGTTTCACCAGCTTATAAATGCTTGTTCCAACTTACAACCCTCACCTAGCTAGTGTTCCCACGCGGATCTCTCTTTTATGAAACCAGAATAGCTGTTTGGTTAAAAATTTATATCTATTATGAAATGTTCTGTTAATTCTTTATCTTTTGCAATTATACCCTTATAAAGAAAAGGATGCAAACAACCATTTCAAAATAAACATAAAACCAACTCATGAAAAGTATAAAAAATTTACAAAATACAAGAAGAAATCAAAAAGAAAAAATAATAATAATAATCCCATTATACAAGCTATTAATTATTGTTAACTTTTTGATGTATGCTCTTTTGTGGTGTGTGCGTGTATGAGTAAAAATTATTCTTTACAAAATTGCATCATATTATTTTGTAAGCATCTCCTTTAAGATACTATGAATAATTTCCCAAGTCATTAAGCAGTCTCCTCCACCTCCTTGTTAATGGGTATACGTTTTTGACTTTTTTTTTTTTTTTGAGGAAGATTAGCCCTGAGCTACCTACTGCCAGTCCTCCTCTTTTTGCTGAGGAAGCCTGGCCCTGAGCTAACATCTGTGCCCATCTTCCTCTACTTTACATGTGGGACGCCTACCACAGCATGGCGTGCCAAGCAGTGCCATGTCCGCACCCGGGATCTGAACTGGCGAACCCTGGGCCGCCAAGAAGTGGAACGTGCGAACTTAACCGCTGCACCACTGGGCTAGCCCCTGTTTTCGACTTTTATGGATATGCCATAATGTCACCAATTCCCTATCTCTGGATTCCAAAGCCCAAACCCAGGCCTACTGCATCAGAAGGATAGAGCCAAACACTTGTATTTTTAACTGTGTCCCTGATTCGGATGACAAGATGTTTTTGAGAACTCCAGTTAATAGAATATGGAAATATTCATACAATGAGAATTCCACATTAAAATTAAAGAGACACCATTCCTTCACAACATTGTCCCACACATGAAATCAATACATTAATCAATATTTCTGTTCTCTCATGACTGTTTTCTTTTGCAATTTTTAAAAAATAATTTGTATATAACTTAATCATATGAATTGCAGAAATGCAATTTAGAAACGCAGAAAAAAAGCCAGGAAGGAAAAATAATTCCCAAATATAACAACTGATAATATTTTGGATAGAATCTCCCAGTAATTTTTCTTTATATATTTATAGCTACCTCTATATTATTTACAATAATAGTATTTTACTCTAAGGTTTTACAGCCTGCTTTTTTCACTGAACAATATATTAGTTTTCTCTGTGTCAATACTTTTCACATAGAATTGCTCAACTACACATAAAGCTACAAAGCCCCCAAACCGTAGTGTCATTTTGCTTGTTTCTCTAATTTGTTTTTAGAGGCAACATTAGAGGCTTAGCAGATGTTAATTTCAGCAAGGTTTGTGACTACGTTCCTTCAGATTCTGAACCTAGTTGTTTGCTTATCAAATTCTACTGGAGGTCAAAAATACCAAGTCTGTCAAAATACAATTTCCTATATTTGAATCTTTCTTCCTTGCACAGATAGTGCATAATACTTTAAAACTTTAAATATTTTTAAACTGTGTTGGATAAAAACTCTCAACAACTGGGCATGGAGGGAATGCATCTTAATATAATAAAGGCCATATATGACAAGCCCATAGCTAACATCATAGTCAATGGTAAAAAACTGAAAGCTTTTCCTCTAAGAGGAGGAACAAGACAAGGAAGCCCACTCTCGCCCCTTTCGTTCCACATAGCACTGATGTCCTGGCCAGAGCAATTAGGCAAAAATAAGAAATAAAACGCATCCAAATTGGAAAGGAAGAAGTAAATTATCTCTATTTGCATACAACATGATTTTATATATAGAAAACCCTAAAGATTCCACCAAAAAACCGTTTGAATAAACAAATTCAGTAAATTTGCAGGATACAAAATCGATATAAAAAAAATCAGTTGTGTTGTACAGTAACAATGAATTAAGAGAAAGAGAAATAAAGAAAACAATCCCATTTACAATAGCTTAAAAAAATAAAATACTTAGGAATAAATTTAACCAAGGAGGTGAAAGATCTGTAAGCTGAAAACTATAAGATTTTGATGAGAGAAATTGAAGAAGACACAAATAAATCGAAAGATATTCTGAGCTCATGGACTGGAAGAATTAATTTTGTTAAAATGTGCATACTACCCAAAGCAATTTACAGATTCATTGCAGTCTTTATCAAAATTCCAATGGCATTTTTCACAGAAATAGAAAAAAACCTAAAATTTGTATGGAACTGCAAAACCCCAAATAGACAAAGCAATCTTCAGAAAGAACAAAGCTGGAAGCATCACATTCCTGATTTCAAACAATACTATGCAGCTAAAGTAATCAAAACAACATAATATTGGCATTAAAACAGACATAAAGATCAATGGAAAAGAATAGAAAGCCCAGAAATAAATCCATGCATATATCGTTCACTAATTTATGACAAAGGAGCCAAGAATATACAATTAGGAAAGGATAGTCTCTTGAATAAATGGTGTTGGGAAAACTGGACAGCCACATACAAAAGAATAAAAGTGGGTCCCTGTCTTACATCATACACAAAAATCAACTCAAAATGGACTAAAGACTTAAATTTAAGGACCTGGAACTGTAAACTCCTAGAAGAAAACATAGGAGGTAAGGTCTTTGATATCAGTCTTGAAAATGATTTTTTGGATTTGACACCAAAAGCAAAGGCAACAAAAGTAAAAATAAAGAAGTAGGACTACATCAAACTAAAAAGCTTCTGCACAGCAAAGAAAACCATCAACAAAATAAAAATGCAACCTACCAAATGGGAGAAATTATTTGCAAATCGTATATCTGATAAGTGGTTAATATCCAAAATATATAAAGAATTCACACAACTCAATAGCAAAAAAAAAAATCTCATTAAAAAAGGGGCAGAGGAGAAGAATAGATATTTCTCCAAAGAAGACATACAAATGGCCAACAGGTATATGAAAAGATGCTCAACATCACTAATCATCAGGGAAATGCAGACTAAACTACAATGAGATAGCACCTCACACCTGTGAGAATGGCTAACCTCACAAAGACAAGAGATAGCGTTGGCAAGGATGTGGAAAAGGGAACTCTTGTGCACTGTTGGTGGGCGTGTAAACTGGTACAGCCACTATGGAAAAAGTATGGAGGTTCCTCAAAAAATTAAAAACAGAACTACCATAGGATCCAGCAATCTCACTTCTGGGTATATATCCAAAGGAAATTAAAATAGGGTATCAAAGAGATATCTGCATTCCCATGTTCATTTCAGCATTAACACAATTGCCAAGATATACAAACAACAGATGGTTGTTGTTTCCAAGGGTCCATCAAGAATG